ATATTATTTAAATAAGTTAACATTTTACAAATCAAAGTTTACGGTTTATATTAGACATACAGATTTGACTTTTTACAAGTGATATTTCACAGAACTGATGCATGTATTTTCAATCAATAACACAATTATTTTGCAGTATTAACCAAATGTACCAAGCATTTTACATACTTCATTACTACTTTTTACTTTTACCACTAAAATCATGAGTTTATTATAATCTTGGCAGCCTATTTTAAGTCTTTTACTAATAATATTAATAAATATTATTATACATTTACTACAAACACCATGTATTTGCATCAATTAATCAATATAGTTTTAAATTCGGCCATTTTTTAAGTAGAGATTGCTTTCACTTGTGAATCTTTATATTTAGGCAACATTATTTTAGATGGGTTGATTAATAAAGACAAGAAACTTTTTTTCTTCTTCCGGCAGCTAGTAAAAAAGTAATTACAAACAAATGGTTAAAATTAGAGTCACCTACAGTTGAAGAATGGATTGATACACTGAACACTTTATGCATGACATCTTTTTTATTAAGAACACAGATTGATTACTTTTTTTCTAAATTGAAGTAAATTGAGTATATTTCACCAATATGCTTTTCTTGAATTATAACTTATAAATTTAATATTATGTGTCAGAATATACATATATTTTCATCTTTAGAAGACAATCTTCTAAAGCATTTGTAGCACCCCATGTTTTACTGTTTATAGTTGTTATTAAAGGGAAGAAAATACAAAGCATATGCAAGATCTGTATGTAAGTTATATATTTTCTTTTGGAAAACTCAAAATAACTTTTTTTTTCAGCATATATAATTACACCCCACACAAATCTATGTATGTATACAGTGGTCAGCATATACAAGTACACCCCTCAGTCACAAATCAATCTTTTAACTTCATATTTTTAATAGAAAGCTAAACAATATTGTATTTGTGCATATACTTTAGATTAGTCAGTATTGCAGACAAATCTGGAGCTTATCTAACAAAATAACTTGTGATAATGGTGCAAAAACTAGTAAAGCCAAATTTAAATTTTATAGAAAAATAATAAAGACAAATTTAAAGAAGAGGAAAAACCAAGAGAAGCAAAAAAGTAAAAATAAATAAATAAAAAGGAAAAATTTTGTTGAAATGTTGTAGGTTGCAATTTGTTTTTGTAATATTTTGCTTGAATTTAATTGTATTATCTTTCAATTTCTAAATGTTTGGTGACTAAAATATTATTTTAACAAATATATCCGTTAAATAAATCTGTTTTGTTTAAATGCACCAGATTAAGTAGCCTATATTCACTGAAAATTAATAAAAATATTAATTTTTAAAAATGGCTGTACTCAATTATACTGAGCACTGTTTATGGTGTTAAATTCACACAAAAAATAACAGCATCTCAAAAATACTGTAATAACAATCAACAATAAATCAATTACAACTTTTTGGAGGACTGTTAACATGTTTGCTTCAAATAAAACAATATGAATCCGTTTTTCTTGCATACTAATAAAGTCAGCCATATTTTATTTTAGGAAGGCCATCTTTTAAAGAGATCGTATTATTTAAATGTCCTTAAAGTTTAACAATTTGACGCTAAAGTACATTTAAAAGCAATAAACTTCTATAATATCTGCCTCTATTATGAAAGACATTTCTTCTAAACCAATACATATGATGTGTGTCTGAAAGAGTGACATGCCTTCTAGAAACATGTTTAAATCATCACCAACCCTCACAACATTAAAAAGCAGATGAACTTTTCATTCATACAAGTTTAGAAGCACAAGTAACTGTTAGTTATATCAGAGTGTGATTCGCTCATCACGCTGCATTCCCTCCAGCACGGCCCGGTGTTTATTTTCTGACCACAGAGAATATGCGGACAAAACCAGACACATTAGTTGACTAAATTTAGAGGATACCTGGAGTCATGCGAGATGATAGGAGGTCTAAAGTTTATTTTACTCCCGCCGCAGCGAACCACGCGGATGTCAGTCTTTTCCACCATGTTTTCAGCCTCTCTACAGATTCACATCATCACATGTGGCCGCAACGCGTCTCTCTTCCTCGTCTGTAGTGACTAGTGTCTGCAGGAGCACAGCGACATCAGGCGACCGGGCGAACACTTACCGTGAGAACACATTTAAAGGTCCCATGAAAAAAGAAAACATTTTTTATATGTTATTATAAGTAATAACAAGGATGGGGTTATTTTTCTCAAATAGACGACTTTTTTTGCAGTCATTCACCTCATTTTCTATTTAATTATGAGATTTAAATACTGCATTTTGGTGACATTTTAAGCACTATTTTTAGCTGGATTAGCTTCTTGGATGAAAAATACTTATTTTTAAAAACAAATTTCAACATTCAACTTTCTTCAGTCAGTGTTTGGGCATTTGAATAATAAAAAATGTAAACATAATAATAATAATAAATAATAATAATGTAGAAATTCACATTTATCCTAGCCTCTGGTAAAAATTACATTTGAAAATTCATGGATAACAACATTTGCCAAATTATTATTCAAATAATTGTATGGGCCGCTTTTGGGGCTTCACAACCTTTTATAGATAATTTTTTTGTTTCAAGAATAAGGTCCAAGATTTAGAATAAAAGTTAGGCTACTTGTAAAATGTTTTCTCTATTTAAAAATACAGTAGTGAAAGATGACTTCACTTACGTCAGATTGTCTTGAAAAGTCATTGTTTGCATTAGCCAAAACTGATCAGCTTAAGGCAAGCCGGAGCTAGAGCCAACGAAGGATTCCGCTTAGTCTTAAAGCCTTTTTGGATGGGTTATTTTCACAATTTGTTGTCAAAATAGGACAAATCAGCTCATGTATCAAATACTGGACCTTTGTCAGTGAGGGGTGGGTCATTCGAACCCCCCAAACCCCCCTGACAACGGCCCTGAGTATTGTTAGTTTTTAGGACATCTATGGAGCACTTCACAAGACTGTTATGACACATTTGCATTCATCAGAATCCTTATTTCTCGATTTTTTTTCATATTTCATTTAAAGAAATACGTATTAACATTCATATATATTGAAGTACAGTATGCATTATCACCTATGCATCAAATTACAAAAAACTAATTACCGCTTATGCGAGGTGATTGTAATGCAGAGTGTACGGGCAGCAGGAAAGTACATTTGGCGTTCTTCTCTCTTCTGGCTGCCATTATCAGCAGTGTGCGATTTATACATTGACAATCGGGAGGGTCAACTTTTTTGGTATTGTTAGTTTGTGTAATACATGCTTCAGTGAATTTAGAAATGTATGCATTTATATAAATTACATAATATTTATTAATAAATACATGTATTATAATTAATTTTTCATAAATAAATAAAAAATAAATAAATAAATAAATAAATGTATTTATTAATGTAGGTTTTCAGCTGTGTAATCCGACCTGATTAGCTATTTCGGTTTACTTTAGGTCAAATTATACAAACTAGGTGTCTAATTTGACTACTTTAAGGCAATTTGTTAGCATATGGGTGGTGCGGTGGGTAGCATGATCGCAGTGAGGTCGCTGGTTCAAGCCCCAGCTGGGTCAGTTGGCATTTCAGTGTGGAGTTTGCACGTTCTCACAGTGTTCGTGTGGGTTTCCTCCATGTGCTCCAGTTTCCCGCACAAGTCCAAAGACATGTGCTATAGGTGAGTTGAATGAGCTAAAATTGTCCGTATTGTATGTGACTAAGCTGAAAAGAAAATGAATGAATAAATGTTTGCATTTACAGTAAAAACTGTAATGTAAGATAAGAATTCATGCACTTATACTGTTAAATCAGCCTGATCTCACGGGAAAACGTAAGTATTTATGTTTTGCCAGTTTAGTGGCTAATTCGTACAAATTCAGTCGTAAAAAATTGTACATTTTAAAAAGGAGGCGTGGCACCTAACCCCACCCCTAAACCCAGCCGTCATTGGGGGATGAGCAAATCGTACTAAAATGTACGAACTAGATCATACGAATTCGTACGAATTAGCCACTAAATGAAAAAGTTACGAATTGCCGTGAGATTGTGTTGTGTTAAATATAGACATACAATATATGAATTGTTTTGTTTTTAAAGAAAATGCACTATGTAATTTAGATGGTAAATTAAGGTTAAAATTTGTTTGTAAAATGTAGCTATGGAAAAACAATTCAGACAAATTTAGTTAAAATTTATTTGGTTAAACTGTGTTCCTAACAAAACTCTAAGCAATTTAAAAAATCTGGATTTTGTTGTTGTTGTAATGATTACTTATGGATAAAAGAAGAAAAAATATATTTTGCATGTGTATATATCTATTGTAAAATATTGTTTGAAATGTGAAGTAAATATGACAACCATCATGTAAATGTTTTTTAAGCAATGCATGTGGTTTTAAAGTTATATTTTCTCATTTAAGAATTTAAGTGTTTTGTTCAAGATGTAGCCTATTTTGAGGTACTTTGACTTAAATGTTGTCTAAGTTGAAATCTGCAGGATAACTAAAATAAAAACTTTTAATTTAATTTTTTTAAGTATAATAGAAATATATAGTACAAATTTAAATATGTAAACATAAATAGTAGATAGTATCTATCTATCTATCTATCTATCTATCTATCTATCTATCTATCTATCTATCTATCTATCTATCTATCTATCTATCTATCTATCTATGTCTGTCATAATCATAAAATTCCCAGCAATGCTTGACGAGACTATGCAAATTAAGCATCACATTTGTCTTGATTTGAAAATGAATTCATCAAACATTTCTTCAGATTTGTTACTGTACACTGCAGGCTATTGTGTTATTAAAATCGTATAAATCTTATCACCGTATACCAGCGTCAATTTCTAAATGATGGCCGAGATTAGGTAATATAGTGAGTAGTTTTGATATTACTGGATAATCCTCTCTGAATATGTGAGTCTGTATAAAATACCCTTTGAGCACACTTGCTGTCAAAGCAGGGGACTTTCCCCTTGTGCTTTTTTACTGCAACGACGTTTCCGTGTTCGCGAAGTGCTCAACATTTCCTTGAAGAACCCACCTGTTTACGCGTTCAATCTCTGGATGAGATATCTGACATTCATGCCCTCGAGGACTTCATTCATGAGAGGAAACGGGACCGTTCAACCTCCTCTAGACTTCTAGGAGCATCTGAAGCGTCTCCGGCCGGGTTTGGGTCTGTCGTCTGTGGGCAAAACTCCTGAGGATCTGCCGCTGGCATAAAAGCGTGGCTGCTGGTTGAGTTGCTTTCAAAACAACAGGTGAAGCAGGAGCATTGAGTGAACTTCTTGGCAGTGTCTCTTAAAAGGGCAACAGGTAACACTAGTTTCGGTTTATATTACTATTAAAGCTATTATTTACTAATTAAACTTATTACTAACTTATAATCTTAACTTTTCCGAATTTTATTGTAACGCAATAATGTGATGGCTAGCTTTTGTAAAGCTGTTTTGAAACAATAATTATTTTGAAAAGCTCACAGATAAACTTGAATTTAATTAAAATTACAAACGAAATAATTTACATGAGTATTTGAATTATTTATGATTATTATAATGCACTGAGAATTTTGATTTATCAACTGTGTAAACTGTTGTACAATTGTTTTGTGTCTCAGACTGTATAACAATAACATACACTGTAAAAAATATGATCAATTAGTCCTTACAGCATATGTTTTAAGGTCATAGTAACTTATTAAACTAAGTTATAACAACTTAATTTTCTAAATTACACAAGCAGTTTAACATGATATACGTTCAATGGATTCATAAGGTTAATTTGATTCATTTAAAAAATTTAAGGCAAGTTTTTTTTACAGTGTAGCCTCTCACGACATTGATATAGTTTCCAAAGGAACACTTTACAATAAGTTTGTATTAGTTGATGTATTTTGTAACATGATCAAACAATGAACAATACATTTGGTATTTCTTCATCTTTGTCAATGTTAGTTATTGGTAATAAAGTTGTTCATTGTTAATTCATGTGTATAACTCTCAGTGCATTAACTAATGTTAACAATTTTAATAATGTATAGGGCTGGGCGATATGGCAAAAATGTAATCTTGATTATTATTTTCCATATTCATCGATAGCGTTATATATTTCAATATAAGTTGTTATTGCCAAGTTCCAGATTTAAGAGAGTACCCCAAAAATGACTAAAGCCTTAAAAATTAGAGGGTCCATTAAATGGCATAACATTTTTGTCAAATAAATTTACGGTGCCGAAAATTCGGTGCATCTCTAATGTTAACAAGCTTTCAGATTCCCGTTGTTGCACATTTCTGCTGTGTGATTGGCTCTTAGATCAATATAGAGAATTGACAAAAATTGTATCGTGATTTGATATAATATAATTTATCGCAGCTCTAGCATTAGTAAATGTTGAACTATGATTAATAAATTAGTTCATAATTAGTTAATGTTAGTCAGTAAGTACATTATCTAACATTAACTAATGAAACCTTATTGTAAAGTTTGACAGATATTGATGACTCTTTCTTGAACTGTAAATTAGTTGTAAACCAAGCATAATAAACTGTACAACTAAAAGAAACACATAGTCTAAAGGTGTAAAATGTTGTTCACAATAACAATATATATATATATATATATATATATATATATACATATACAGTTTTTTTCTTGTATCACTCATTCTCCTTTTCTAAATTTTATCTTAATGCAAAATAATAATAACATGTAAAGCATATTGTATAACCTTGTAAAAAATTTTAAATGATTTGTTTTCTTAAAATGAATTCACAACTAAAAGTAATAAATTAACATTTTAAAAAAAAAAACTATATCTTTACTGATTTGACTGCTGGACTGGTCCAAGATTGAGAGTGGGGGATACAAATTAAAATTCTTAGATCCTCACCATACAAAATATGATAGAAAACAATGTTAAATATAATTTATATGTATAATTTATACTTCTATGTATTTATTTGGGGGCCCTTAGATTTCCTAAGGCCCTAAGGGGTTGCTTACCTTGCTTATTGGTTAAAGTTGTCCCTGATCCCAGCATTTTTAACACCATTTCAATTGGAAGTATATTGACATATAAAGTAGTACATGAATAATTCATGCATTTCCATTAAACCAACTAAATTGTCTTTTCAGTGTAACAGTACTTTCTAATCCAAAAATTACTTTCAGGGATATTTCTCACAACAATCATTTGATGAGTTAAAGGGCATCTGTTATGCAAAAATTCCTTTCATAAGGGGTTTAAGCACTTGCTGTGTGGCAATAGTGTGTGAATATAGCCAGTTTCTAATGGTAAAAATTAATGAGTTATATTTTTCATAATCACCCTTACTTAAAAACAGTCTGCAGAAACACTTTGATTGACATACTCCCATTGTTTGTGTCATCAGAGGAAAGCCCCACCTATTAGTGATTAGATCTCTCCTTCATTAGCGTAGACAGGGAGAAGCAGCCGTCCGCCATTAGTTTTAGGGCAGTACCTGCTAATGTTAATTTCGAAAAGAGGGCTGAGAGCACACTTTTATTTGAATTTAAAGTATCAGACACCAAAAAGGGCAGAGTTAAAAATCACTTGTTTGGTATTTTGAGCTGAAACTTCACATAGACACTCTAGAAACATCATAGACTTACAGTGTTTTTACACCTTGTAAAATTGGGCATAATAGGTCCCTTTTTAAAGACATATTTAATAATTAAAAATATAACTGTCATGTGATGGAGGTTTATTATGAGAATGGTCAGGCAATCAATGGTCAAAACATGCAGGGAATCCAGAGTCGTGGTCCATAAACAGGCGAATGGTCAGTACTGGCAGCAAGCCATGTAAACAGAAATAAGCAAGCGTCAAAAACAGCAACGCAAGGCAAAGTAAACGCGTTATAATGTTCACAAAACAGTATAACAAGACTCAACAACTGGTGTGTGTGTGTCTGTGCTGCTTTTAAAGTCCATGTAATCAGTTCTGAACAACTTCATTGTGTATCAGCAATCAGCAGCAAACCGAAACAGGTGTAAGTGTGTGGTGCATGACAGGATTTGTAGTCCATATGGTGACAGATTTCTAGTCCTGATGGAAAGCGAATGACTCCCAGCCATCTACAAGCCTGGATTGCTGCTGGTGATTGTGACAATAATGCAATTCATATGACCACTTATAATTTTATGTATTTTAATATAAGAGGGATATTACACTGAATGATGATGGACCATTTATACTTCACACGTATTTTGATATTTTATTTAAAAAAGACTTTTAAAACAATTTAAAACAATAAATTAGACACTTTTACTTGCATTTGTTTTGTATAATAATCATCTCTATTTTGCTTTTAGAATTATTAGAGTAGGCCAGTTCTGTCATTTCACAAACACATCCAAAAAGAACGGTTTAATTTTGCACGGTCAACCTAAAAAAAGATTGTAACCTCAACAAGACTGTAACCTCAAGAAGGTTAAGGTGGATGATGCTCATGTATGATAGTGGTTTGGTTATTTCTTATCACATAACTGACTCTCTGAAGGCACTGTTGCTTTGTTATGACTACAATATAGTATGTTTCTTTTCCAGCATCACCATGAGTCAGTGGAAGCAAGTTCAGCAACTGGATATTAAGTTCCTCGAACAGGTGGATTATTTTTACGATGACAATTTTCCAATGGAGCTGAGACAAGTGCTGGCTAACTGGATTGAAAGCCAGGATTGGTATGTGGTTTATTGATCATAATTTGCACGTTTATCAAATCTCACTTTCAATTTGTGGCCCTATAAAATGATAGAAAATACACAAATCTCACACTTTTAACAATTGTCTGTATAATTTACAGTAACTTACTGGCACAGTTTGCCAACAATTTACTGTAAACCAAACTTACAGCAAAAATACTGTATTAATATTTATAGTACCGTTTGTTTTTCTGTACATGTTTTTACAGTATTTTACAGTATATCTTTACTTCTTCAGGCTTCTCATATTTTTTTACTGTTATATTTTCTAATATTTTGTTTAACAGCAAATTAAAAATAATGTTTTAATGGCAATAATTTTCTTATATTTTTTACAATGCAACTTTGAGATACAGAAAAATACTGCAAAACTCTCATACAGTGAAATACCATTCATATTACAGTTAAATCCCCCTTTAACTGCCCCACCAAGAAAATAAATTTGTATTGCAATTAGGAATGGGATGATAACCGTTTTCAAGGTATACGGCGGTTTGGAAAAGTCAAGGTTTTAAAACCGCCAACATTTTCTGCTATACCTTTCCTATGGTGTATGTAAGATTTCTTTATTTATGTTTTTACAACAGTATCTCCGGCAGAAAAGATATCCAAAGATGCCGTTTTAAATTGTAAAGAAATCAGTGTTTTTGAAAGTAACGAAGACAGCAGAAGTCAATAATTTATTTGAATTATTTAACCTGTTTACCTCACCAAAATATTTTAAATGTTTTTCAAAATAAAATAGATTGTGTTCAAAGGGGAAATAAGCTTTAGTTAAAAGGTTTTTTTAAAAGTTAAGCTTTTTAAAAAGACATTTTAAAGCAGTAGTCACAATACCGTGAAACCGTGATATTTTTATCCAAAGTTATCATACTGCAGAATCTTATACCTGCCCATGCCTAATTGCATTTCTTAACTCCTAATGTCGCTAGTTGCATTTTTTTTCTCAACAATCCCATAATTTCTAAAGTATTAACCTCTACCAAATGGTTGATATGTTGGTTTATGCTAAAATACATGAATTACATTATATATTTTCATATACTATGAAAAATCTGAAAATATTAGGTGTAAGACCAATTTATTTTAAACAAACATTTTCAAAATAAAATCATGTTTGAACACTAAATCATCTTTAATTTTTCAGGTATGCATTAAAATATTTCCGATTCTCATTTAACATGTTATCTTGTTGTTTATATTTACAAATAAACCAAAATCAAGTGTAATAATGCAACAGGATTATGTTTGATGTTTTATTTTTTGTAAACCAACAATGTTGTGTAGTGTAAACCATTATTTAAAACAGCCAAAACATGGTCAACCATTTAGTAGAGCAGGCAGTTACAGGACTACTGTGTAATGGAAAAGTCAATACCTCGTCCTAAAGCATTTCTGTGTTTATCGGCTCAGGGAAACGGCATCAAACCATGAATCTATGGCTACTGTACTCTTCAATAACTTCCTCATTCAGCTGGAGAGACAGTGCTCTCAGGAGCAGAACTTTCTTCACAGACACAACCTGAAGAGAATATTTCATCAGATACAGGTAACATATGCCTTAACACATCTTATACATAACTGAGCGGTGAAAGCTGTTTTTATTTGCACTCTGAATGAGCGTTGCCTATCAAAAGCAGTGTTTCAGATAGTGATGCCACCGTGTGTATTTTTAGACCCCTGCTCTTTGTGTACTTGACAAAGAGAAGTGAGAGGAAAGCAAAGCGCACATAATGTCCTTGTGAATGACCCCGTGACTGTTTATCTGACCAATGCACAACTGAATGAATTTGATTACTTATATATAATACAATTAATTTAAAGGTATATTTCACCCCCCAAATTTTTATTTACTCATTATTTACATTCCCTCAAGTGGATCCAAAGTTTCTTTCTTCATGTTAACCACAAGATATTTTGAGGAAAACTGAAAACCTGTAACCATTGACTTCCATAGTAAAAAAACAAATACTGTTTAAATCAATGGTTACAGGTTTCCAACATTTTTCAAAGTATCTTCTTTTGTGTTCAACAAAAGAAAGAAGCTCATTAAGGTTTGAATTAAGTAAAGGGTTAGTAAACGCTTTATTCTTGGCTGAACTATCCCTTTAATACTGACATTAATAGTGCTAGTCAACAAGCTAATAACAGCTCTCTGTTGTAATTTATACGTGATGTACAGTAAGTGTGAATAATTTTACGTGCTGTTTTGAATGGGGTAGTGTAAGTGGGATCTTGTGAACTCAGGTGTGGTTTTTGCTAAACTTCATTGACTTGGGTGGAAACAGTCCTGACCAATAGTTTGCACCGAGGCCACCGAGTTTACCACATTCAGATAGGAAGCATATTTATGAGCAGTCTGTAAACAATGGCTGACATAAAACATACTATTTTGATATGCTAGCTGCAGTGACAAAGTTGTTGTTAGTTCATGTCAATGTTGTTGGGTGTAATTAGTTTCCAAGTTACTTATTACTGTAATTAAATTACCTTTCTACTAAAAAAGTAAAGTACGGGATTACTTTTAATTTCAGGTAATGTAATTACAGTTACTTATAGTGTGCTTGTCGGGCGACGTGGTGGCTCAGTGGTTAGCACTGTCACCTCACAGCAAGAAGGTCGCTGGTTCAAGTCCCAACTGGGTCAGTTGGCGTTTCTGGGTTTCCTCTGGGTGCTCCGGTTATTTCCCCACAGTCCAGAGAAATGCGGTATAGGTGAATTGCAGTTAAATCTTATGAGATGTGTGAAAATGAGAGTGTATAGATGTTTCCCAGTACTGGGTTGCAGCTGGAAGGGCATCAAAACATATGCTGGATAAGTTGTTGGTTCATTCTGCTGGTGAATAAAGGGACTAAGCCTGAGGAAAATAAATTAACGAATAAGGTGCTTGCCTTAAATACTGTACTTAAAATGAACGGTTATGTATAAACCAATTTAGAAAAGCAGATTATTTGTATTTTTATTATACAAGTAAATTTTGCAGAACTATGGACAGGAGTGGATTTAACCAGTAAGCGAGGTAAGCAGCTGCTTAGGGCCCCTGGAAATCTGGGGCCCCCAATAAATATCTAGAAGTATAAATTGTACCTATAAAATATATATAGCATTGTTTTCTGTCATATTGTGTGTAGTGAGACTCAAACAAATACTATTTTTATGTGATTAAATATTATGTAATGTAAAATAAAATACAATATAATATTATTAAGCAGCGTGGTGGCGAAGTGGGTAGTTTCTGATTTTTGTTTCTGACTATTCTGGTCTATCACCTTAGGATATTTTCCTTTTTGTGCTGCTAGTCTGACTGTTTAAAAATTACATTTTGTTTAAGTCTGTAATGTTTTAGTTGTGAGAATGCAAATGAATTAAAACTGTGAAGCTGATCCACAGTGTATTCTCCATGCAGCACTGAAGTTATTCACCTTATTCGTTGCATACGAGCGGTGCAGCCATTTGAATCTTTTTAGCTTGAGACTTCCAGTCTCATTCACTTCCATTCATTTTTAGATGTTAAAAACAGCTTGTTATGCTTCTTGATGTTGCAAACTGATATTTTTGTATTATGTGATTCTGCTTTGTCTGTATAGTCATGAACACACTTGTTTGCAGAGCAAGTAGTTTGACTGTTTTCTGCGGTTTATTATTCCTAGTCATTTCTCCCATAGACAACTGAATCGGAAGTTCGCACATCCGCGTTAAGGAATATGGTCAATAAGGGCATTAATGGAAGCATTTAAAATGTTCTTTGGAATAGTAACTTAAAAATAACTTTTAACAGCAATGCGCTACATTTTGGTATGTTTAATCAATAAAGTAAATGAGTTACTTTTTGAATGAAGTAACTAGTAACTGTAATTAGTTACTGTTTTTCAGTAACTAGCACATCACTGCTTGTCAATATGTGAATTGTGATTCCATTTGTTTTTCTCTTTGACTCAAATTTAAATTCTATTGTTACTCATGGAGTAATTAAGTTACTTTTGATACAAAGTAATAATAAAAGTAATTTAAATACAATTTTAATGATGTGATTAGTAATTAAATCCTTTTTTGGAGTAAATACCCAACTCTAGTTAACCCAAAAAAAAAACTAAAACCCAAACATAAAAACCAAAACCAAAACTTCCTGAACATAACACCTAAATTCACTGATAAAATCTGACTGGCTGAACTCTCTATGTATTTTCAACTGCATTCAGTTATTTGCTGTAATTTCATGAGTGGGAGCTGTGGGGATTTCTCAAAACATAAATCTTTTACAGATGCATCTTTACTAGAAACCTTCACAGATGCATCAAATGTCAGGAGTTTCACGCGGTTAAAAAAATTACGTAAAGCTGTCTGCAGCTGGTGTTGTATGCCAACCCTAAACACAAAAAATGACAGAGTGTGTGGGAGATTGCAATTATTTAGGACGACTGCAAAAACTTTTTTCTTCTGGAAATATCTGTCTGAATACTGCATGAAAAAAAAGCACCTAGAGCAAACACCCACAATAATGTTTAAAAAGCAGACGGAGAGTTCAGAGACAGATGATTGTTATTTTCCATAATAACACATGTGTCATTTAAAATACTCAAAAGCTTTTTGAGCCAAGGTGCTTCAAGGAAAATGAAAGCGCACTCATTTAAAGCCATTAATATGATGAATATACCTAAAATAAAAACTATTTTTCCTTTTTCAAATGAAGCATGAGGTATTTAGCCATGATTTATTAGGTTGGACATTTATTATGATTGTTTTTTTTTTTGTGTGTGTGTGTGTGTGTGTGTGTGTTATGGGATTAAATGTCTCTGACATCAGTGATGAATCAACATGAATCACTCCTTATGAAAACATAAGAACTTTAACAATGAACTGTTATCAATCAAAATGATTCCACTCCTTGTAATGCCACATTCCTCTTGATGCTCGATTCCTGTAAATGGTAGCGAGTTTTTACCGTCAGCTAAAATTCTTTAGAATTTTGATTTCCGTCTTAACAGTGTGGTTGCTTTCATTTTAATGGGGATGCTAAAAAGAGAGACAAAAGCATTTTGAACATCTGACAGAAGCAAGTGACAGCAAGATCAAGGCTTTTAATGCCGAAGTTGCTTTAAATATGTCATTTTAATGCAGGTTGAATGATAAATTCTTTGAATGCATAAATATGTAATATTCTTTATGCATATATACATGGCGACGTAGTGGGTTGCACGTTTGCCTCACTGCAAGAAGGTCGCTGGTTCGATCCTCGGCTCAGTTGGCGTTTCTGTGTGGAGTTTGCATGTTCTCCCTGCGTTCGCGTGGGTTTCCTCCGAGTACTCCGGTTTCCCCCCACAGTCCAAACACATGCGGTACAGGTGAATTGGGTAGGCTAAATTGTCCGTAGTGTATGAGTGTGTGTGTATGTGTGGATGTTTCCCAGAGATGGGTTGCGGCTGGAAGGGCATCCGCTGCGTAAAAACTTGCTGGATAATTTGGTGGTTCATTCTGCTGTGGCGACCCCAGATTAATAAAGGGACTAAGCCGACAAGAAAATGAAATGAACATACATACATACATATACAATATAACACACAATATTTTCAACAGTAATATAATTTTAAAATGTAATGTAAATATTTTATTAAATGTAAAATATTTTTAAATTGGACACCTAAATATATTCCATGCATACACAGGTCACTTTGTGTATAATGATGTGTATTTTGCTGGTCTTAAAAGTCTTTCGTTTCCTTAATACCCATGCAGTTTTTAGAAATGAAAGTCGGCAAATGATACTGTAGATCTTTTCTAGCTTGTAAACCTCTTTATAACACCAGCAGACCTCAGTGTATAGGGATTTTACTACTTTTTCCTCCCTGAATCCACCACAGAAGTCCTCTCAATTGCATTAAAATGCTCTAGATTTATTTTAACCAGTGTATGTTAGGATGCGGATACAATTCCTGCTTTCACATTATCCAGTAAATGTTATTTCTTCTATTCTCCCAGGTGAAATACAAAGCAAATCCTCTCCAAATGGCTGCAGTCATCTGTAACTGCCTGAGAGAAGAAAGACGCATCTTGTCCACAGCCAGCATGCAGGAACAGGTACTGCCAAACACGCGACAAACAACATGCAAAAACCACAAGTACCCCATGCTGCTGTTGTTAACCAAGCTTCAGAGTTTTGCACTCGGTCTGACCTTTAGCTCAAACTACTGTAGTCACCCTTGCTTGGTGTTACAAATAAACGTATTAATATTTTGGCAGCAGTTTATTTTCTGTGTTGCTGGCTATAATTAACTTTGCAACTACGTATCAACTGTCTGCTTCATATCTGCTTAAAGTTTATTTTGATACTCCACCAATAGACATTTTAATTACTAGAAATAACTTTGGAAGAACAGTTGAAGTCAGAATTATTAGCCCCATTTCTGTTTAACGGAGAAAAGATTTTTTCAGCACATTTCTAAACATAAAAGTTTTAATAACTCATCTCTAATAACTGATTTATTTTATCTTTGCCATGATGACAGTCAATATTATTTGACTAGATATTTTTCAAGACACTTCTATACAGCTTAAAGCGACATTTAAAGGCTTAACTTAGGTTAACTAGGCAGGTTAGGGTAATTAGGCAAGATATTGTATAACGATGCTTTGTTCTGTAGATTATTGAAATAAATATAGCTTAAAGGGGCTAAAAGTTTTGTCCCTAAACTGCTTTTTGTAACCACGGGGAGTGACACATACAACTGAGGTAAGATCCACAATGCAGGTTTATTTGTCGTCAGGCAAGCAATGGTCAATACAGGTACAAACGGGTATGTGAAGGCTGTCCACAATTGTAATCAGTAACAGGCGAAAGGTCAAAAGGCAGGCGGCAGACAAAGTCAAGGATGCTAAGAAGGCTAAGCTTGGTACACAGGATAACAAGACTGGGAAACGCATTGTAGTGTTACTTACAGTGAACAAGACTCTGCAACTGAATGAGTGTGTGTGCTGCTTAAATACTGTGTGCAATCAGTCTCTGACAATCCTCAGGTGGTGCTAGTGTAATCAGTCTAGATGAGAAAGCATGTGTGCCTGGGTGAAGTGCATTGGCTGTTTCTCAATTCCAAGAACGCAGAGAACGGACTTGTGTTCTTGTGGAGAGCGGTCTTGACAGGTGTCCTCGGAAGAACGAACTCAGGAGACCGCGAGGGCAGAGAATGCATCCTTTGAGAAATGGGATGCTGCGTTCTTCCTGATGGTCACGTGACCTTCATGCGTTTTAAATGGAAATTCTTTAAACATTACAGCATTCATACAACGATTTATTGTTTCCCCCTATTCAAAATATATACTTTGCATAAAAACGTTATCAATATACTCTGCACAATATAAATAAAACAAATTTTAATATGAATTTCAGCAAACAAACACCCTTAATGTGTTTATTCCTTTATTAAGATATTCATGTTAATGTTTACTTTCACCGTTTCATTTAGGGAAACTCCTGAGGTAAATAAGTGATATCTCTGAACTTTAATAATAAATCTAAATAAAATGCAGCGCTTCCCACCTCCAGTCGCAATGACTTCTGGGACTTCCAGAGCGAGTTCGGTGCTCAAGTCTGCATTAGTGCGTCCTCGATATCAAGAACACATCCGGGAAGTTTCACGCGTCCTCCGTATTTGCGGTCTTGAGTATTGGAACTGAACTTAGGCAGCTGATTATGACGTTGCACGAGAACACGAGGATGCAAGACTGCTGAAGAACGCATATTGAGAAACAGCCCATGTATGCAGTTGTAGTCCATAAACTGGCGGATTTGTAATTAGAATGAGATATAATGTTTTTCAGCGACCTCTGGTGGTTGGAGGTCGCTGGTGATTGTGACACTTTTATTCTAATAAAATTCTAATATTCTAAAAAACAACAACAAAAAAAAAAGAATTTCTCCAGAAGAAAATATTATTAGACATACTGTGAAAATTTCCTTGCTCTGTTAAACATCATTTGGAAAATATTTAAAAAAGAAGAAAAAAATAGGAAGGGGGCTAATAATTCTGACTTCAACTGTATATATATTACTTAGTATTTGTTATACCAGAGGTGGCCAACCCGGTTCCTGGAGAGCCACCTTCCTGCAGATTTCAGTTGCTACCCATATCAAACACACCTGAACCAATTAATTAGGACCTGAACACCACGTGATAATTACAGGCAGGTGTGTTTGATATGGGTTGCAACTGATATCTGCAGGAAGGTGGCTCTCCAGGAACAGGGTTGGCCACCCCTGTGTTATACCAACCCTAACCAAACAGTCTACTAATACTCTTGTAGTACTGTAATGTGAGTTACAGTAGTTGACATGTAGATTTTAAGTAAATAGAATGTGACCATCGACATACAGAGGGCGACAGTTCAATATGACCATTACCGCCAACGTGATGCCGCTGCAGGACACTGGGATTAAGAACACGTTTGTTGGTGTAAAAGCAGATTGCGACTATGCCACCAGGGGGCACAAAGGGACTGGATGTGAACGACAGAAATATACCAGGCCCTTAGCCAGCCTGTTCAAAACGGTAGTTCTTTTTTCTACAGAAGTAGACCTTAATGCAGTTATTGGCCTCATTTTCTATTTAATTATGAAGGTTGAATACTGCCTTTTAGTGACATTTTAAACACAATTTTTTGCTGGATTAGCTTGTCAGATGGTCATCAAAACCACAAGTTTTGATGTACCAAAAACATTTCCTAAAAGTTTAAAATAAAGAAATATGAAAATAATATTTATTTTATCGTGTAACAAAGAAAATATATATATATATATATTAGGCAAATAACAAACTGGCCAGCACATTCAACTGTTAGTCAGATTTTGGGATGCTGAATATGGAAGTCACACAACAGCAACAGCCGACACAGGATTCCGCTTGGTCTTAAAGCCTTCTTCGATGGGTTATTGTCATAGGAATTTTTTTTTTCAATTTATGATGGCTTAGCAGTCAAAATAGGACGAATGAGCTTTTGTATGATACAAATTCTGGACTTTTGTCAGTTAGGGATTGGTCGAACCCCCCCCTGGCTGCGGGCCTGTTTACAGTAGCTGTAAATACTCTGCTACTTGTAAATGAAAATACAATAATGAAACAAAGCATTAATTCCTTCATAAAGTATTAAAAACTTGGTAACAAGCTTTATTATCATTGTAAACTTTTAAGTGCAAAGAGGAAAACTAACTAAACAAGGCAAACTTTGGAAACAAAAAATAAATAAATAAAAATAAAGACAGCTAAAATGAAAGTACAATATAAATAAACGAATAAACAAAATAAATAAAAAATAAAATAAACAATTAAATAATTAATAAAGTTAAATACATAATAAATATAAACAAACAAACAAATAAATAAAAATAATTTAATAATTAAATAAATAAAAATTAATTAACAAATTAATAAAAATAAATATATAAATATAAATAAATAAATAAGCAAACAAATTAATAAATTAATTAATAAAAAAAAATAAAATTGATAAATTAAAATAAATAAATAAATTAAATTAAATAAATACATTTTTAAAAAAGTGTTTAGAGAGATGTACAGTTTTTAATATTTTAAAGTGAGGACCAAGACAGGTAATAAATAAGCTTTTTCATTTACAGATTTCATTTATATTTTCTTTGTTGATTATATTTTACTTTTTCATTTTATGTCTTAATTATTGTACATAAATAATAAATTAATAATTAAATAGGCCTAAATAATTATTTTTTAAAGACATTACCATCGAAAACGGAGAAAAGGTCCAGCGCATGGTCTAAAGGGCTCTTAAAATTGAATGCTACTTCATCAAAAGAATAAAAATAAATTGACCTACTTCAAGCAGAACTCTGAAACTATAATAAAAATAATTTAGCTGCAGGACACACTGTAAAAAATGTTACTTAGATCTAACTTATAAAAAGTGAGGCAAGTGGTTGCATCGGACGTTTTAGGTTGATTCAACTTCCAGCCTTTTTTAAGTATTTTAAACACTAAAACATTGCTTAAAACAAATGCAATAAAATTAAGTTGAGCCAACTAATATTTCTAAAATTACTCAAATCAGATAAACTTACTTTTTTTGTTAAACTTAACTTACTTATACATTGCTATATGTTGACTGTACTCATTTTAATTAAGTATTATGAACTTAATGATCTAAATAAAATTAACCATGCATATGTCATTTAAAACTAATTTAATTGACTTCTGGCTGTAACCTCAGAAAATAAATCTTCGTTTCTATATTGTAAGCACAATATACACTAGTAAAAACAGATAAACAGACTTTCCTGTCAATAACAATTAAATAAGAATGGGAAGATGGATTAAAGACCATAACATGTATTCAATATCAATCGATGTTCCTTTTAATAGTGACTACAAAATAGGCCATTAATGTGGCTACACATACACAATACATAAATAAAAACATTAATAATACCAGATCCTATTGAGAAATCATCCAAGGCAACTCAGTGAGGAGATTTGCATATTTTGATGAAGATTTAGGATGCATAATGTCCAGTCCCACAAAGAGTCTCTAATATATCTCAAATGTATACAGTTTTGATGGATACTTGAAGTCGAGGACATCGGTAAGTCCAAACAGGAGCCATCATGCATTTGACTATGATAATCCAAACTGTGTTGGGCTGATGGCAAATTTTTCCCGTGGGCAGCCGCATGCACCTCTGATTCCTCACAACTCTATTGGTAGAGACAAAAAGAAACAGGAGTTCAGGTGGTTGCTACCAAACAACATTAAATAGCTAAATACTGAATAGGAAATAACTACAAGTGAAGTTACAAAAGTCCAGTGAGAATGATGCATGGATGAAACACCTTAGTTTATCAGTTAAAAATTACCTTAGTTAAAATTACCTAACTTCTATTTAAAAAATAAAAAAAGGTTATAGAGGTTGTGTAATTACATTATTCCAGGTGTTTTTAGTTATCAAATTTTAAAGAAAACATTTTACTCAGTGTAACAGTGCATGTCATTGTGTTTTCCTGTCAATCAAAGAATTGTTAAAATTTAGGTATTACATTTTTTGTTTATTTTGGCAA